CCCTAAGAGGCCTGGCGGGCCTTTTTATCCGTAACCGACAGGAAAATGGGGCCGTGGCCCGCCGGCCCGGCGTGGGGGTCAAATACTATGACCCAGAAATGACCCCTCATACGAATTTTGGGATTATGTAACGTATCAAATAGTTGAGCGTTTTACGCTTACGCAATGGTTTTAAAACATTGCAACGTATAACGGTATGAGGTCTGTGCGGCCGCGACCGCCAACAGGCGATTCGGCAACTTCAGTGAGTCCAGTCCTCATTCCAAATTCTCATTTTTCTTATTTCGCTCTACTACTCTAATCTCTAATAGAGTAGAGAGTGTTTAAGCAATAGAGAGTGCTCTACTACTACTCTAGTAAAGTCTAATAGACTTTAGAGAGTAGAGGGAGGTAGAGTGAAAGACTGAAAGGCACCATATGAATGATATAATATGCACAATGTAGTATGTAGAGTACTCTCTCTCTCTACTAGAGTCTCTAGCAACTGATTGTTTGGGACTTGGGTAGAGTGATAAGTTACTTCGATAGTTCTTTAGTTCTATAGGCCGGGTTTAGGAATTAGGAAGAGTTTCTACCTCTTTTTACTATTTTAGGGTTTAGGGGTTTAGCAAATTGGCCTCGCGGGGAGCCGTGGAGTGTGTCGCCGCCCGTCAGCGGTCAGCGGACAGGGACAGCGGAACTTATCAAAAATGAAAAATCGGAAGTAAAGGTTTTTTAAAAACTAATACATTGGAACTACAATCTAAAATTTAATAAAAAAAGGAGAGATTTTCGATAAAAAAAAGAAAAAATAGAACCCTTTTTTTTAAAAATAGAATACAAATGGGCTCCCAATTACTCCAGATTTTACTTAAATAAGCAAATATGTATTTTTACTATTTTAAATTTTTTTAAATTTTTAGTTGACAACTTGTGAGTTGTGACATGTTGAGTTGAGTTATGAAATGACAGTGTGACTTGTGTAGTTGTGAGTTTGTGACATCAAAATTTCAAAATTCAACAACAGTCAGGACTCATCACCGACGGTCAATCCATCACACACACACACGTGCAAAGTCTACAATCTGCAAACTATGCACATATTTAAAAAATACTCCTGCTTTTTTTTATACTGTAAATAGAAATATTTAGAGTATACATATGAGTATACTACTATATTGAAAATAAATAAATAAAACACGAAATAGTGTAAATTTCTAAGCCACTCAGAGCAAATTATATTTAGTTCACACAGGGGTTTTTTTAGTTTTTAGATTAGTTTTTAGTTTTTTCCAAACAAAAGTATACAGCTTTACTGCTCTATTTATTGTTTTTCTTTTGCTTTTGGGGATATTTTTGTTTTGTTTTTAAAAGATAATAGGAACAAAGAAAACTATTGATGCCAAATTTGAAATTGCCAATTGCCAACTGCCAACAGTGCCAAGACATTTAGACTCTCGCCGTCTATAACGCCGCCCTCGCCGACTCCTGAAAGGCTCGAATCTCGATTTTGTCTAAAACCCACCCAAAAAAGTACAAAAATCCTCTTCTAAAAAATAAAAAAATCTTGGACACACCGGATTTCGTCGGCCGGGGACTTTGGGCCTATTTTGAAAAAATAGATTCAAAGGACTGGTTTTTACAGGCACTGATTTTTGTTCTTTTTTCAGAAGAATTTAGATATATTTATTTTGAAAACAAAATTCATCTTTGTACGTTCTTGACTTCTCTTGAATACAAATAGCCGACTCTAGCAATTTCTTATGTTTCCATTCCAGTCTCCAACTCTTCATAGCCTTCGCTATTCTATTTACACAAGAAGTCACAGATCAAACCTAATTTCCAGTCCACCGCATAACACAGAGAAACTATTGTGGAATGTGGATACTATTCGTAACGCAAGTTTCTCGTAGTAATTTCTTAAAAAAATCCATAGCCTTCTTAAAATCAAACCCAATTTAACCCACACGAGTATCCACTATCCACTACTGCTAGACGCTACGCATTACGCATTTATAACCGGATCACGATATTTGACTAATTTCAAATACAATAGTGCAACATGCACATCTTGTTGAAATACATCTATAAGCTTCAGCAGAGCAGTATAACTGTATTCATATATGTCGACTGCTTCTATAATAACTACTACTTATACGAACTACTAAATAAAATTCAACTACTGTCCAACAATAAACACAACAACTACATAAACTAACACAATTTGTAGTAATTATGAAGCATGATTGGGAAAGACGAAATCGGTGCTGCTAGTATTTTAGTGAGATCTGGTAGCTCGGCTTTCGCGCATTTGAATGAGAGCAGAAAAGAGGAGCGCGAATTCTATAGGCTGATACCGTTTGTCAGCAAAAACAGTTTTTGGCATATTGCTGTCGATATAATCTTTATTTGCTACTTTGCCGGACTCTTCTCGTAAGTTTTTTCAAACTAATGAACTAACCTTCTAAAATAACTTTATATATATATATATATATATATATATACATATATACATATATACATATATACATAATAAACATATACTACTACATAT